CACCCCCTTCTTCTTGAACAACCACCTACCCAAGAGACATCATAGCAGCAACTGGCATGTCATGACAAGCAGCCCATGAATGAATTTTTTAAATGCATTTTTCCATATAATTGCATACTATCCTGCTGTAACAAAGAATGAAGCAATACATAACACTATATGGTAGAAAACATACTAAATGCTTCAAGTAGAATACATTTTGCATCATTCCACTATATGAAGTACACAGAATAAGCAAATTCATAGGCACAGTCTTTGTCTGTTCAAGTTACTATTAAATGGGTAAAGTCATATAAAATCAAAATGTATTCTTTTTTATGTATTTAGTACAGGGTCTACAGGGTCTACAGGGCCTCAGTACACAGATTGGACTCATAGTGATCCTCCTGTTTTCAGCCTGCCAAGCACTGGGATTACAGACACAAGCCACCATGCCCAGTCTCAATCGCCATCTCAGTGTGCCCTGGGGTGGGGCCAGCACAGCTTGGTTGCTGGGGATTGAACCCCAGTACCCGCATTCTGCCTAAGCAGGCACTTCAGTTCGCTGAGCTATCCGGCTGGCCCTAAAATGTATTCTGAAGGCCAGGAAGTCCAAACTTATGGGCCTGGGAAGCTCAGGGTCTGGAGAAGATCAGTTCTCTGCTTCAACTGTGGTCTTTCATTCATGTGTTTTCACATATCAGAAGGAGCAAGGCAGTAGCCTTCTATCTCACATGCCACCCCAACAGGGTCTGGCACTGTACCCCAGGCTGGCATTAGCTCCCAGCCCTGCCTCAACCTTCCAGTTCTGAGATCACAGGCATGTGTCACTGTGCCCAACTCCATTCGATCTCTTCCATAAAGGTACTAATCATGAGTTTTCAGAGGGCACCATTGACACCAGAGTGGAGATAGCAAGTAGATCAGTGGGTTCAGGGATGAGGGTTGAGTATAATGAAGAATGACTGGTAAGAAGTGTAGGGTTTATTTCTGAAAATTGATTCAAATAAGAAAAAAAAAAAGAAAAAGCAAGAAGTAACAAGAAAAAAATTGAGGGTGGCAGCGATGACCTACCTGCCCTCCCTGAGAACAAAATTTGATAATGAGAATCTTTGTTATAGATTCAAGCTCTGAGCCAGACAAACACAAAAAA